TTCCTTCTCTATTCCTTTATAGCTGGGATTTACGAAGAGTTTCAAACATTTTGGTCCCAGAACTTTTACACTTAAACATTTTTGAGATCAGACACATGTGGCTTGCACATATAGTCCCAGCTACTCGGGTGACTGAGAGGGAGAACCGCTTGTGGCCCCGAGTTTGGGACCAGCTTGGCAATATAGAAAGACCTCATCTCAAAAAAATAAATAAATAAAAAAGAAAAGAAAATTTACTGAGATTCTGAGTTTTTGAACTTTTATTTATAATACCCTGAGAGATATGGAAAGAGATTTTATAAACATATTCATATGTATAGTTACATAACTATATACACTTATCTGCCATACCACTCAAGAGACTGAGACCAGAGGATCTCGAGTTCACGGCCAGCCACAGCAACTTAGACCCTGGGGTTGTATGTAGTAAAGGGCCCCTAGGTTCGATTCATAGTAGCCCCCGCCTTCCTTAACTGTTAACATGAATAACAGTTTAATGAAAAATACCTGTCTAAAAAGTAGTGGCAACAGTGATGGTCTATATTTTTTCAAATCTCTTTATTTAATGTCTGGTTTAATAGAAGATAGCTATATTCTGATATCTGCTTTCTTCCATCAGTATTTTGCAATATCCAATTTGTGTAAACTCTGGAAAACTCCACTGTATACTTATGAGAGAAGGAAAATAAACAAGTCAGATAACATGTTGGTATCATTATGAAAACAGTCATGTGTCACTCTGACAAGGACACATTCTCAGAAATTCTTTGGCAATTTTAACATTGTGTGAACATCTTAGAGTACTTACACAAGTGAAGATGGCTACAATGTCAGTTAAACAATCACACAGGCAGGCTGGGGTTGTTGTGGCTTAGTGATAGAGTGCTTGTCTAGCATGTGTGACACACTGGATTAGATTCTCAGCGTTGCATAAACAAAGGTCATTGACAACTAAAAAAATATATTAAAAAAAATCACACAGAACCAACATTGTGGCTGTGGTTGATTGTTATGTGGCGGTGACTATTTATGAGCTCTTGAGTCTCCTGGATCTTCCTACCATACCTTTAAAAATGGTTTTTCTAGATAGTAGACACAGTGGTGAATATTAAAGAGAAAATACCTACTCTGACCTGGAATTAAGGAGATTCAAGACTAGGGAAACAAAGGAAATTTGATTTACAAAATAATACAATATATTCATTCTGTATTTTTTTTTTTTTGGTGTTGGATATGGAACAAGGGCTTCACACTTACTAGGCAATTGTTGTACCTCTAGAGTACACCCCCAGCCTAATTCTGTAAATTTTTACTAAAATTTATAAAGAACAAATAAAAAATACAGACAAGATAATTACAGATTTTGATAAGTGCTCTTAAGTATCTAAAGAAGAGATGAAGTGCTATGTCAAATAGGGTGAACATAGGAGGCCCTTCTGGAGAAGTGACTGAAACCCAAGTGATAAGATAGCCATGTGAAGAAGGGGAGAAAAGTATACCTTAAACTAGGAAGTAATTTTGGGATGACAAATTATTTATTTACTTGTTTATTATCTGCCCCTCCCACTAAGAAACAGGCTCCATAAAGACCGTGTTTACCTTTTTTTTAATATTTATTTTTTAGTTTTAGGTAGACACAATATCTTTATTTTACATTTATGTGGTGCTGAGGATCGAACCCAGTGCCCCATGCGTGCTAGGCAAGCATGCTACCACTGAGCCACAACCCTAGCCCCAGTGTTTACCTTTTATGTCCACTGCTACATTCCCAGAACCAAGCAGGTGCATAGAACAGGAGATGCACAAAGAAAGATTTTTGAGAGAGAATTTTTTTTAATATATTTTTTTTTAGTTTTTGGCAGATACAACATCTTTGTTTGTATGTGGTGCTGAGGATAAAACCCGGGCCGCATGCATGCCAGACGACCACGCTACCGCTTGAGCCACATCCCCAGCCCACACAAAGAAAGATTTCTGAATGAGTGTGTATGTGTGTAAAGGGGTGTCCCAGAGAAACTAAGGGGAGAGTGGAACAAAGTAAGGTTAGAGAACCAGTTCCAATCACAGGAGGCCCTGAGGCCACCAGTAGGTTTGAGTTTTATTCTAGTTGTATTGGGAAGTCTGTAAAGTAAGAAAGGGCTGCTCCACTTTGTTTCAGATCACTTTCACTGGATGTAAAGTGGATTGGGAGGGGAGCATAGTGGAACTGAAGCCAGTTTGGCTTTTAGAGAACTTCTGCTCAGGGCACTAGGTGGGTACTGTGGAGATAGTATTGACTCAACTAGCTAATGGGATTATAGACACTTCCTGACTTACGATGGTTCTAATGACAAGTTTTCACCTTTACAATAGTGTGAAAGTGATACTTATTCAGTAGAAACCCTATCCTACTTCAAATTTCGAATTTTGATCTTTTCCTAAGCTAGTGATAGGTGTATAATACTTTTCAGGACTCTGGCAACAGCAGGACCTAACAGCTCCCAGTGAGCCACAAGATCATGAGGGTAAATTACCGTGTACCGTGTTGCTAAACCATGGTGTTTGGTAGGTTAAGTGTATTGAATGCATTTTTTACTTAATATGTTTTCAATATATAATGGGTTTATTGAGATATATAACCTGATCATAAGTTAAGGTACAACTGTGATTTTGAGAGTGAGGAGGGAGTGAATCAAGATGACACCTAGATTCTCTTAACAATACCTGAATAACAGTGGTGCCAATGAATTGCTATGAGAAAGCCTGTGGAGCCTGGAGTAAAGGTAATGAGCTATGGCAGCAAAAATAATTTCAAATGGAATGTATTCAATTTGAAATTTATGTCACACCTGAGTGGACATGACCATTAAGCATTGTGGATATTCAAGTCTGGAAGTGAGGGCAGAGCTCAGCGCTAGAGACCAAAAGTTGGGAATCTGAAGCATAAAAATGATGTTTCAACCAGCCAGTGTAAGATTTCTCTGTCACCGTTAAGAGAAATGTGGTCCCACAGCCAAGTCCTGGGAGTGCCTAATGTTTGGGTTGGGTAGAGGAAGGCTAGCTGAAAAGGGGACAGCAGAGAATTCTGTGGAAAAAAGGAGGACTAAGAAAGAGGTTGAGTAGTGATGCGTACTCATGGTCTGCTATGAGATCACAGGAGGGGCACTGAGAACAACTGGGGAGCGCAGAAGGAAAGAAGGCCTTGGGAAGGAGAGGCGGCTTCATCCAAGTCTTAGAGGGTCTATAGAAGTATCTAGAAAAGTCCTTGTATGGGGCTTATAGGGCCTTTTATTCCTTCTTACCAAGGTAATGAGATACTCATACAAAACAGTTAAATAGCCAGGCATGGTGCTGTTTGTCTGTAATCCCATGGGCTCCGGAAGCTGAGGCAGGAGGATCCTGAGTTCAGAGCCAGCTCCAGCAATAGCAAGGTGCTAAGCAACTTAGTGACAACCTGTCTCTAAATAAAATAAAAAATAATGCTGGGAATGTGGCTCAGTGGTCAAGTACCCGAGTTCAATCCCTGGTACCGAAGGAAAAAAAAAAAAAAAGGAAAAGAAAAACAGTTAAATTTGTAAAAATGAGCAATTAAACCAAATCAATTCATAAGGATATTATATTTTGTTATCTTTCTCTACACTTTTTTGGTACAAAGTTGAAAAGGCTGAATGTTTTCTCTGATATGTGGATGCTAATTCACAATAAGTAGTGGTGGTGAAGGTACTTTGCATTAGACAGAGGGGAGTGAAAGAAGGGAAGGGGGGGTATGGGGTAGGTATAATAGTAGAATAAATAGGACATTATTATCCTATGTGCATGTATGATTACACGACCCGTGTAACTCTACATCATGTACAACCAGAAGAATGAGAAGTTATACTCCCTTTATGTATGTTGTATCAAAATGCATCTGTCATGAATAACTAGAACAAAAAAAATTTTTTTAAACATTAATATTAAAAACAATAAACATCTTCTCAGGTGGCTAAGCACCTGAGAAGTATTTCATAATAGAATGAGCATGTCTTTAGTGTTCTTCATTTATTTCCAATTTATAAATATCACGTTTTGAAAACTAATTTTTCACATGGATCTTTAAAAATCCTTGGTAGCTGTCAGATGGCTGTCTGCGAATTTTTCTCTTCTAAGATTTTTGCTTTATTTAGAATAATCACTATGGGTGCGGAGTGAAGAATGGATAGGATCAGGGTAGGAATGGGGTCGTCGAGGGTGTGGGACCAGTTTGGAGTTCCTGGAGTCATCCTGCAGTCTTGCTACCATAGTGTGGCACACCCAGGCTCCCCCAGCAGCATCAGATAGAGCTTGACAGAAATGCAGCAGCTCAAGTCCCATTCCAGACCTACTGAATTTGAATTTGCATTAAACCAACCTCCTCAGATGATTCATATGTGAGTAGATCTGATCAAATCAGGTGTTCAAAATGTGCTGCACATTAGAACCATCTAGGGAACTTTCAAATAGATGCACACTGCCCTGGCCTCGTGCTACACTAATTAATCAGAATCTCTGCGAGTGGACTAAGCAGACAAAACCTCTCCTAATGATCCTAACATGCGACCAATTTTGAGACCTCGTGCTCCTGCAGGAAGGAAGGAAATGGGCTCAGCTGTGTGAAGTACCGACGTGAACCTTCTTCCCACCGTAAAGTCGCGCTGCACGTTCCGGACGTGTACCGTGCACGCAGTGCCTATATAAAGTGGCTCAAAAGCGCGGCGTGGGAAGGGCTGGCGGGTTTGTTCCCCAACCTAGGAGAGAATCGGGACTAGGAGGTAGGGCTCGGCTGCGCCTACCCGGCGCTGGGTTCGCCCCGCCCCGCCTCACCCGGGCCGTGGGGCGCAGGCGCGCAGACCGCGGCGGCCGGGGTCGGCCTGTGTGACGTCAGGACGCCTCGCGGGTTCCAGGGCCCCAGTCCCGGCCCCCGAGTCCCGGGCGAGGGCGGGGCGTCGGGCCAGCTGAGCTATTCCGTCAGACCGCGCCAGTTTGAATGAATGTCCCACAAGATGGCGGCGGCCGAGGCCGAGGCGCGAGGAGGTGAGGCTGGAGCGCGGCCCCCGCCCTGCCGGTTCCCAGGCACGCTTCCGAAGCTGGGGCAGCCAGGCCGTCCCGCGGGGCAGCAGGACGGCGACGTGGCGGGACACCGCCCGCTGACACACTGACTCCAGAATGCGCGCAGCAGGCGCCTACTTGCCCCGCTGCCCGCGACCCTCCTCCCGCCCGGCCCGCAGTCCTCTGGGGCTCGCCATCCCGCACCGGGGGTGGGCGCCGCGCGAGCCCGGACGCACCGGTCAGCGGAGCGGCGAGCGCTGCGCCCTCGGCCCCCTCGCGTCGCCGCAGCGGTCCCCGAGGTCCCGGGCTCCAGGGCTCCAGGTGCCGTGGGCACGGCTGCGCGGAGCTCCTTTGTGGCGGTGGGAGCCGGGCGCGCGATGTGCACGCTGGCTTTTAAGTGGGAAGCGGGAAACCACAGTCGCCGGTGTGATGGTGACCTCGGTATCCGGGGTAAGGGGGTGGGAAGAAATTGGGGCTGAAGTGTGGTAAGGGAGTGAGCGAGGCTCCCCACAGTGCGGACACGGGGGGGCGTTCCATCGTTGGAGAATCTCCGCGAAAGCGGGCATTTGAGGATGCAACCCCGGGCTTTTTGTAACTTTCCTGCCCACCAGGATTTGCGTGTTATTTATGTGGACACTGAGAAATTAGCGTGCGTGCGTGTGCGTGCGTGCATGTGCTTGCATGTGTGTCGCGCGCCCTTTGAAAGCCTGGAACTTTGAATGCAGTCTGCAATTTAAAGGTGTTTCAAGTTCTGCTCCTTGCAGTTTGTGACATTATGAAACCTGAACTCTACTTCTTTTAAGAATGGCGGGGGTTTCTATAACTCGTGGAAGGATTTTTTTTTTTTTTTTGGATGGCAATACAATATTTATCTGGTCATCGAAATCCTTTTCTCCATTATTATAGGCTGCCATTCCCCTTTATAAATCAGTACTTTGCAGTTTTTTACGCTAATGTGTTTTTAAATTCTCAAATTCATAATGTCCATCGAGGTTTCTGTTTGGAATCCTCAAATGGGTATAAGTTTTCAGAAACAGGAGACAAACATGTTGTGTACATAACTAGTAGGAACCTCCTTTGTAAGTGATCAGCACAATGAGATGAACCTTACCCAAAACATCCTCAAGAGTTTTAAATGGAAATGAAGGGACAATTAATGTCTTTCTTCAAATTTGGTGGATTTTCCTTTTTGTTTGTTTTGTTTTGGGTGCTGGGGATTAAACCCCGGGGGCACCTTATCACTGAGCTACATCCCCAGCCCTCTTTATGGTTTATTTTGAGACAGGGTCTTGCTAACTTGCCCAGGCGCGTCTTGAACTTGGGATTCCCTGTCTCAACCTCCCTAGTAGCTGGGATTATAGGTGTGCACCACGGAGTCTTTTCCTTTGGGTTAGACTTATGAATTTTTGGCAGGGAGTGGTGAAAATTGTGCTGATTTCTGACAAGTCCCTCTGAGTTGGGGAGGGTGTGTCTTTAATTTTGAAAAAGTAAAGTTAGAGCAGCAGTGTTCTCTCTTCCCTGGAATTTACCTCAAAACACCAAAGGTTATGCTACTACCTTGGAGAGCTACCAAGTAAAGCTTGAGTTAGTGATAAATTTTGTTTGGTAACCCCAGTTTTCTCCACTTTCTGACACTTTTTTTTCACATTGACACAGAGAAAGATTGAGACTTCCCCAAAGTCATGTAGTTAGTTGCCCCACCAAGGGATAGGGGCAGAGGACTCTTGGTCCATCTAGTACTTACCACCATGGTAGCTATAAAACTGTTTAAATTTTTTTCTAAATATCAGTTTGTGTGATATTTTACATTCTTTGTGGTAGCATACTGTTTACAGAATTTGAAGGTAAAATCACATCACAATTAGTTTCTGGCTTCTGTAAAGTTGATTATGAGTATGTCTGATGCTCAGTTGGGTATGTGGATTTACACAAATTGAATACTTGGTGCTTTCTGATGCTCAACTTTAAAAAATGCAGAAAATGAATATCACAAACATCAGTATACTTTCCATTTATAGAATGTAATCCTTGGTTTTATTCATTCTGATAACACACCATGGGGCAAAATAATAAGTGGAGTTAAAATTTCATGTAATATTCCAGAGTGGGAAAAGTAGGACATATATATTTGTAATTATAGAACTTCAGTTAGAGTTCAGTTATTGTCCAATTAAAAGAAATGAAAGTTACTTTTTAACCAATTATAATTGCATTTTAAAATCTCTATTGGATACATTTCTAATCTTAGACATACTTATTTTCATTGTTTTATTAAAACAGCAATTAAAATTCTATGTAAACAGAAAAGTCATATATTACCTGTTAACGTTTGCATTTATGTGTGATCTTAAAGTTTACAGGCATGAAACATTTTGTTCATGGCTTAGCAGAAATTGATGTCAGTTAATCACGGTAGGATCGAAATCCATGAGAAAAATCCAAGAAGACCAGTTTGGCAAAATACTTCTTTAATGCTTTACTTGAAAACACTTAACTGGTTTCTTGTCATATGGATTTTTAGGCTATAAAATTGCCAGTTGAAGGGTGGGAATGTAGAGGTTTTAAGTTTCTCTTTTTTTGTTTTAATTGAGTAGCTATTTCATTGGTAAAGAATTCTGTTTTCTTATTGTAGCTTGGTGTGTGCCTTGCCTAGTTTCACTTGATACTCTTCAGGAATATTGTAGAAAAGAAAAGCTCACATGTAAATCGATTGGAATCACCAGAAGGAATCTAAACAATTATGAGGTGGAATACTTGTGTGACTACAAGGTATTAAAGGTAAGGCAAATATCTAGCTCCTTAAGAGACTTCATCACACTTTAGTATTTCCTATTTCTGTAGTATAAAAGAACCTTAAAAGTAAACAAAGCTCTTCTTAATGTTTAAAACATAGCACCATGATAAATTATATGTCCTGTCATCTATATTGCTAAGTAAGACTGAGAGGATTTTTGAAGCATAGCGTGTTCTTGCATTGGAATATTTTAAGGTACTTATACCATTCTACATCCAGTTCTTGATTATCTCCAGGTGGATTACCAGAATAAATGTTTTGCTCAAATTGGCTTTTCCTGTCATTCCTTTTATTCCTGGATTATATTTGCCCACTATCACTTAAAAAGAAGTTCCAAACCAATTTTAGTGTTTCTGAATCTCCTCAAGAAGTATCACCGTTTGTGTTTCCTGCCATGATGCCCAACCCCAGATATTATATGGTTCTATAGTGTAGTAGAATTGCCTGGATTTCAGTCATTTTGGGTCTTCATTTAGTACCTTAGAATGTTAGAAAACTCATTTGACTTCTCTGGGATTCTTTTTTATTCCTCTTAAAAATAAGTTGTTCTTCTGAAACACTTTTTTATTCTAAACTTAAATTTTTTGCAGTTCTTGGAGTCAAACCCAGGGTCTTGCACACATGTTAATCAAGTGCTGACTTGTGCTAAGCTACACTTGGCCCCTAAACCTTATAATTATATTTGAATAATGTATCTATATCTTACCTCTGAGAAAGAACTCTATTCTGGTCATTAATTATTTCTTTCAGAAAAATGAATCAAATCTTGCTTTAATTTTTTGCTTTTGCTTCTCCTTAATCTATGTTGAATCAGTCACTAAATCCAGTTCTTCCTTTAAAATGTCCACCTTCTCCCCTTAGTGGAATCTTAGCAAACATTCCACCTACACTCTCAGCATCCTTCCACCCTGGAAACAGCCCAACCATTTGCCATCTCAGTTTACAAGCTCCGAACTGACCTGTCTAGCTGAGAGTGTCATACATGCGTACATATCAACTCCATTAAAACATTCTCATATTGCTCAGTTCTCCTTGATAGACTTTTTTTCTATTACTCTTAATAGAATCAGCTGTTTCCCCACTTTTTTTTTAATATTTATTTTTTAGTTGTAGATGGACACAATATCTTTATTTTATGTGGTGCCGAGGATTGAACCCAGGGCCTCACATGTGCTAGGCGAGAGCTCTACTGCTAAGCCACAACCCCAGCCCTGTTCCACCACTTTTATTACTTTTCTGGACTTTTCTACCCTTACTCTTTCATGTGACTGAAGACTTCTACCTCAATGAAAAATAATATCTTTCAAGTCTGAACTCAGTTTACCTTCACCATCAGTTATCTGTGTCTTCACTCATTCTTCTGTTCAAAGGTGTCATCATGTTTATTATTCCTTCCTGTCTACCCTTCTAGAATTTTGCCTAATCTGCAGTGTCCTTTCTATATCAAGCTCTCTTTTCACTGATTTTTCTCAGTCAGTAAATATATTAAGATCTTCCCTAACCTTCAGAAATCTTCCTTTGACTGTATTTTCTGTATTTTCCTTCTTCACTCCCCATTCATTTTCTTAATATATTCATTTATTTATTTGTTTGTATGTGGTGCTGAGGTTGAACCCAGTGCCTCACATGTGCGAGGCAAGTGCTGTACCACTGAGCTAAAACCCTAGCCCCCTATTCATTTTTAACAGATTTGTTAAATATAAATCACATACCATCATACAATTTTCCTATTTAAAGTGTGTAATTCAAATCTTTTAGTTTACTCACAATTTTAGAACATTTTTAATTACCCTGAAGAGAAACCTTAGACCCCATAGTAATTACCTCCCAAATCTCCTCTATTACTTTTTCACTGCGTCCCTAGGGATCCATCAAATCTATTTTCTGTCTCTATAGATTTGCCCATTTGGACCTTTCATTAAAAAGGGAATCATAATATGTGTTTTTCTTGTGATTGACTTCTCTCACTTAGCATAATGTTTTTAGGTTCCTACATGTTGTGGCATGTATCAGTATTATATGGGTGTATCACATTTAATTTATATATTCATCACTTGATGGATATTTGGGTTGTTTCCACTTGGAGACTGTTATAAATAATTCTTCCATGAACATTCATGTGTAAGTTTGTGTTAGTATAAGTTTTCATTTCTCTTGGAATGGAATTGCTAAGTCATATTATTTCTATGTTGAACCATTTAAGGAGATCTCCAATCTTCACAAATCCTAAAGCTCTACATTATTTTACTTTTCCCTCAGCAGTGTATAAGGGTTTCAATTTCTCCACGTCCTGACCACTATTACTGTTATTGGACTTTTAAAAATTATTACTCTTTTAGTGGATGTGAGATACATCTCATTGTGACTCCATTTGCCTTTCTTTTACAGCTAATGATATTATTGGCCATTTGTATATCTTCTGTGGAGAACTATTCAGATCCTTTGCTCATTCAAAAAAATGGGTTGTGAGTTGTAATTTTTCTTTATATTCTGGATACAAGTTGCTTTCAAATATATGATTGCACAATTTGTCTTCCATCCTGTGAGTTGTCTTTTCATTATCCATTACTTTTTAAACTCATTTTATTCTGATATGTACCCCTGGCAATTGACTTTCTAATTACTAACTTTGAAGACCTCAAATCTTACTATATTACTTTGCCATATTTAACACCACTGGCTACTTTTTCTGCTTTAAAACTCTTGTTTAAAAAAGACTGCTTAGATTCAAATTCCAATTCTGTCATTTATTGTGGTGTTCATCAAGTCAGAGCCTTTCTGTCCTTCATTTTGTTCATCTTTGAAATGAGGATAGTTATAGTACCTGATTTGGCATAATTAACATTAAATGAATTAATGTAGACTGCTTAGAACAGACTGACAATTACTTTTAGTAGTCGTGCTATATCATTGTCATTGATGTCTCTATTCTCCTTTTTTCTACTCATTTTTTTCTTTCATTCAGTGTTCTTTGGGAATCTCTTTTGCCGTCTCTATCCATCCTTCCTCTGAAACATAGATGCTCTCCAAGGCTCTGATGTTGGCCCTCTTCTTATCTTGTAGTTGCTCTCTAGGTGACCTCTTTCCCAGTGGTTTAGATCTTGACTCCTGAATCTTTCAGAGGCCTTGACTCCTTTCCAGACATCATTTCAAATTGCGTACTCTACAGGTACCCAAGTTCAACATATTTAAAACTATCCATGTTCCTCCCTCAAATCTGCATCTTGTGTTGGTGGTCCTTGTCTTCATTAACTGAATCCTAAATATGTTTTTGAGTACTTAACTTTAATTTCATATTTTAATTCTTCCCTTTCCTCTTACCCTCTAAATCTAATAAGTGATCAGATTGTGTTTCCTCCATCTCTGTCTTTTTCTGTTCATTCCTGTTACAAGTCCACAGAAAGAATAGATTACCTAGGGAGTCTGTGCTTCCATTGATGCCACCAAGATTCATTCTTGCACAGAACTGAGTGCTCTAGTACAGTTTCAGATAGTTTTTTGCTGTTTAGTTTCTCCTTAACTCTTTCTCATTAGTCCACCTGGTTTCTTTATTTGGAATGAGCAACCTTATTTGCTCATTTGTGTTCTCAACACCTCACTAATATTCTACGGTCTTCTACCTACCACATAGTTTTAATATATGTGCCAGTATTACTTTAACATACTTCCACTTTTTTCTTCTCCTTCTCTCTCTCTCATATATTCAGGGTAGGTGAAAGAAGTTATAACCCTATCCTTTTCCTGTGTAGCTTCTTTCACTTAGCTCATGGAACACACTATCTCAGTACCATATTCAGCAGTGCCATTTCAATTGTTTCTTTTTTTTTTTTTTAATATTTATTTATTTATTTATTTATTTATTTTTTGGCGGACACAACATCTTTGTTTGTATGTGGTGCTGAGGATCGAACCCGGGCCGCACGCATGCCAGGCGAGCGCGCTACCGCTTGAGCCACATCCCCAGCCCTCAATTGTTTCTTAAACCCAGCTCTCATTGCTTTAGACCTGTCTGAGACAAATACTTGTACATTGTCTTATCTAGCTAAGATTTACTGAGCACCTACTACAAGACAGGCACTGTTCTAATCATTGTAAACATAGCTTAAAAGCAGATATAGCTTATATTCTTTGAACACCTTCTGCACGTTAGTGGCTTAGTGATTATGCGTTGAATTGTCTTGCTTCAGTCATTTTTCCAATCCCCACAATCACTATTAGACCAGACCTTTTTAGTTTCATGCTTAGATTATAATAGCACTTTAAATTAGACTAATGTTTCCTATTTCTTTTTCCCATAGACTCAATAAAGTATGGTGCTTGAACATTTTTGTTTCTTTGTGCTCTGTACTACATTAGTCACCAGGAATATAAACATTAATAAGAAACAGTTATTCATTTTAAAGAATTTATAGCATATTAAAAAAGATTGTAAATTATCCATTGCAGTGAGGGCTATGGCAAACATCATTACAATATCTCTTGATCACAGAAAGCTTCCCAAAAGAAATGATGTCCAAGTACTGTAATTCTATATATCTTCTGTCTAGAGAGTAATGTGGTAGGAAGTAGGAGTAGGAAAAAAATGAGAAATAAGAAAGATATTTCAACCATCTTAAGGCAATGGGGACCCAATTGAAAGTTCTAAAATGAGTGACATCAGATTTGTAATTCAGAACCTTTTTTTTTTTTTTTTTTTTTTACTACAGCAAGGAGCATGAATTGGCAGGAAGGGAGTAACACATGAATGACCACATATTCTAAATTTCTTTTGTAGGCAAGAAATGATAGTGCTTGAACTAAAGTATTAACCATGGCAATGAAGAGAGATTGTGAATTTTATTTTTTAGAATTTTTATTTATTTTGGTAAGATTGTAAAATTTACACACCTGGTTTGTAGTTGGGGTGGTAAAGGTTGCAGTATGAGAGCCATATCTAGAAAATATAGGTTTCTTTCTTTTTTTTTTAACTTTTTTTAATTTTTTA